TCATCTTGATGCAGTGTGCAACATCAACCCGAACAAAACAAGGTGCCACTTTTGCAGACTGATTACCAAGTAATATGCCACAACACACATTGATGTAGGTCTTCAGATCAGGATGAGGAGTAAAAGCTTTGACCAAAGCTCCGAGCAAAGCCAGTGAAAAGTCACTTACAACCTCTTTTGGAGTTGGTGCACCTGCACGTATCCATTCTGTCAGCCAATGTGTTATTGCATTAACATCATGTCTCTCTGACAGCATTTGCACGACTGGGACACTTGAGCTCTCATTACCTGCCAGAACGCCCTGATATAAGAAGACATGGCCAGACGTGCCATTTGGTCTCTGTAGTTTCCTCACTACTGAGCCAGTTGCATCAAAACTCACAGTGGGGTTAGTAGATGTCTTTGATAATGACTTGTACATATACATTTGTGTTTGACTCCAATAGTGACAGAAAAACTTGTCCAATCCAATGTCTTTAATGCTACCACTGTGAGGTGCGCTGTATTTTAACATCTGCAGTGACAAAATAGGATCCTTGTCACCTAGTTCTAAGGCATTTCTCTCTTGCTTTGCTTTGCGCAGGGTGGCCAAATTAGGCAGATGGCTTGGCTCAGGATCTCCAAAATCCATCAGCTTTGTTGCCTCAGATGCCCTCCATACATGGGGTTCCATTCTACCCTCACACAGTTCTTTGAATATCTGCACACGCAAGTTACCAGACATCGGACACTTGGAACAGCCAGTGTGCAGGGACTCATCTGTGTTCTTAATGAAACACTTTAGCACCATTGGGCTGTTCATTTCAGGCTCTACACTTGCCTCTGATTTCTATATATTTCTCTGTGGCTGATGGATAGACCTTGGCTCTTTTAAAGGCAAATGTGCAGGGGCTTTTCACTTCTTGCCAAATGTGGTGATTTATCACATGCGTCCAGATGCCAGGCTTCAAAACTGTGTATTCCCTTTTTTGTGTTTTAGAGAAATTGTTTTTGTATTGAACTGTTTCAGGCATAAATTCAATCCATTTCTGAGATGGAACTTCAAGATCAAAAGTCCAGCAATCTTTTGGTCTGGGGAAAGGGACCCTGGCTCAAAATCAGTGTCATCACTACTGCCA